CTTTCAACCTACCTCGCTTTTTCCTCTTACTAATCTCGCACCTTTCCCCTGCTTCTTCACCCCCACCGAATGAACCTCCTTCTCAATCCAAAAATTTATAACCCATCTCAAGGCTTTCAAAATCGAAGAGTGCGGGAGATTCGAAAACATCTCCTTTACGTCAAAAGACGCACCAATCACCACATCTTTTTTCCTCAAGTTCTTATTAATTTCGGGTAGACACCCAAGCAACCCATCCGTGCTACGCATGTTAAAGTTGAAGTTTTTTGGCAGATTCCAAAGGAGAGCATTCACCGGATAGGAGGGGCATATAGGTCTCCATCGAGTAGTATCTTTATGTTTAGGAATACAATAGGCTCTACCAAGACTTCCACCCTTGTCCCATCTTCCAACGGTTTGCAACTTTAATCGTTCATACTCAACGCGACAATCTTCCACAATCACCCGCTCCTCGGCATTGCACAAAACAAAGGATGGATTGCCAATAAATAGCTGCGTCATACCTGACTCGTATACCTTCGGACAACACACCATCGTATCTCCCATATTATGGTCGATTGGGTAGCATACAAGACCACGGAGAAGAAGACGAGAAGGCTCCAAATCATCTTCACTAAACCCAGGTAGGGAAGAATCAAACTCCTTAAAACAACCACATAGCAAATCATCAGTCAGAGCATATCAGTCAACGGGGGCCAGAGACGGATGATCAGAGAACCCGGACAAAACTTGAGATCGAAGCCAATCCAACGACTGTTTCCTTATCGGTCGGAGCAAATTCTTCAAATTCTCATCCAAGAGAGAAAAAGATCAGAGTCGTTTATCCGAAAAGAAACGTGGTTATCAACACGAGGAAACCTTAGGTCACAACTTGTGCAGGAGCAGTGAAATTCCTCAAGCCTCGAAAACGTCAAAAAATTGTGTAAAATATCCCCAACACTTCTGTTTCGGCACCAAAACACACGCATTCGACGAGTTAACATACGACCCCATTCGACACTAATATCCAAGCGCGAAATCAACAACGCGCAAAGTTTTCCGATCTTCGCTTTGCACAAGTAATCGGCAAACACAATCTGAAAGACAATCCTCGTCCTAATTCTAACTCCAAACCTTGAGAAAGCAGTTTGAGCGAGAATACAGCGCAAGCGAAATCTCGTTCTCTTCTCACTAAACGTTCGAATGGCCATATACGTAGCGACCAGTTGGTCGAAATCCCATACTTTCCGAGCCACCCGACTGCCAGGATCACTAAGAAAATGTACAAGAGGGTCTTTCAGAGACAGAGAATGACTCAGAAAAGGAATGATATTCTCGAAAGTCAATGTGACACCGTTCTTCAACCAACCTCGTGCATGTCGCAACTCCACCCTTCCAAACTCACAGGAAACAATACTACCTCTGAATAACCTTCGCAGAACTTTCCAACGATCCAAAAGCAGATCTCCACCTTGACATCTGACCACAGTACAACCCACAGATATTTCTTTACAGCTACTTAGAACTCCCAACGGACTCCTAGTTACCTGCCCGTTAACAACATGGAAAACAAGCAGAGAATTTCTCCCAGTCTGTAGTCTAGATTTAATACACCGCACCTTACCTGACTGCAATCCTTGATCCTTCCGACGCAGACGTTCTCTTAAACCATGTCTACATTTCCTTGATCTCATTCGTTTGTCCCGACTATTCAAGGCGGGTGAAAATAAGCGGATGAAAAATTTCTCCGTATCCAACAGCTCCTCCTCATAACACTTGCACAACGAAATAGCCACATACGTATGTACCCCACACCGCAGCAACCATCAGTATAGTTTCTTGTTTCTTCTTCCCCCCTCAACCACCATTATCGAACACCCACGGTAGACATGTTCCCTCCAGTGAGAATGTAGATCCCTTCCAGTACTCCCAATGTAAAGATGTCTTGACCATGGAGAAAACAGAGCATACACGAGCGGACTTTCCCAACCGTCATCGATCTGTTGCTTCCCATAAAAAAAATTGACAATAAAATCAACCAACTTGATTCCCCACAGAATTTGTCCGCAGATAATTAAACCACAAACAGCAAAGCAAAGAAGTAGATTAAGATCCCTGCTTCTCAATAAGGCTGATGAGCGTGACCAAATATCCACATAAAGTCGTACAACATTCCAGAGGAAAGTCACGTCTGAGCGTGATTCTAAGAAGCACCAGAATCACGCCCATCCCCCTCGGAGTTATCCTCATCTTCAATTACCTCCAGTACAGACGTTTCTTTTTCCTTCCAGAGCCCTCTTTTCCTTCATCAAATGTCATCTCCACTCTTCGCTGTGCAATGACCTATTTCGTTGGTTCCAAAGTAGAGTATCGCACCCCCTCCTTACTGCAGATCTCTAACACCTGATCTTTATTCTTCCCTCGGAACTTCCTTCTGGCCTTTCGCAAAAAGGTATCTCGGTCAACGTCAATCACCGGGCTGGCTTCAGCCTTTTCCTTAGTCTTGGCCCCGAATTTCGCAGCCTTCCTTCCCGATGGCACAGCCGCCTCATCCAATCTGGCTTTCAGATTACTTTTTGCCTTCATCCGATTAGCCACCTCTAATCTTTCTATTTATTCTTGCAAGCTCTCAAACTCCAGTTCACTTTGTTTCCTTGTGTTGACCTCCTTCATTCTTAATTCTTGCAAAATTTGCACCTCCTCCTGGTGTCTCTCAACCAAACCCTTCACCCTCTCGTCAATCCTCCTTCACCCCACAAGAGTCTCAGTAGAAGTCATCTGTAGCCTTGTCCTGACTTGTACTGCTGGTGTAGCTCCAATAACCATGCCTCCTCTCTTATTACCAGGACGCAGAGTTTTTGCCTTCCATACCTCGACATTCGCCTCCGCATCGTCGCACTGCTTCTGCAAGGCACGGATAACCTCCTCCAGAGCTTTGAAATGCTGGTCGACAACCTTTCTCATTTCAACCTGCTCAGCGCGCAGGCGGGTGACTTCGTCGGACTTAGCAGTAGCAGCGTCAGAAGATGTACTCGCCACACATGGTCGACGCTGCAGTTCTTCAATCCTCGCTTTCAATTTGGCCACCTCATCATTGTCCAGGTTTTTCTTCAAATTAATCGCCTCGTACACTCGGTCCAATTCTCTGATACTTCCTTGTTAATCTGAGCGTGGAACTCTTCCCGCTCCTTCTTATCGCTCTGCCGCCTCTCTTCTTTTCACGCTCACAGTTCTTACGTTCTTCCTCCCCACGTGCCGCCTGTTCCTTGGCTTCATCGACATCGTGCTTGGTCTTGATTTTTCCAACAATATCTTCAAGTGACGTCACTTTTTTACTAAGATAGCCTCCTCCATTCGAGTCGTCGTTGTAATTAGAAACAACGGTCCCTATATTATTATTAGCTGGCAAAGTCAACAACGGGGCCTAAGCCGACACTATAGCCGTGTTGGTAGATTGACCACCATTCAGCCTACGGTCATGAAAGGGACAGAAACGGGAGATGTGGCCCCTCTGGCCACAGTTATAGCAAGAGCGAGTATCAGTCACATTGGAACTAATGTTATTATATGTCATTTTTGGAGAACGAAGCTACACAACGATAGTCTAACTTCTACGTCGGTTACTTCGTGGATGAAAGTATGATAACTTTCGACACAATCGTGGCAATCTTATAACAAACTCGAATGACAACCCGGAGGAGGAAAAGAAGAGAGACCGACAAGAAAGGAGCGAAGGAGAAAAGGAGAGAGAAAACAAGACAACGACTCATGTTCCAAACGCGACTTTGTATATTAAAATAAAACTTGAAGTACAGTCATGGCGAAAACCCTACTGGTTTCACCTGACCGTCAGAACCAGGATCATCAGGGGCATAAAAGTCGGTACGATGAACTTTAGTCGTCAAAGACTTTACAGTTCACTTGAACGCTCAACTCGTTTCATCGAAGACGTAAAACGAAGTCGCACAAAAACCCACAGTACCAAAGTACCCACAACTTCAAGTACCACTATCAGCTACACCCATTCACAACAACCTAGGTCGCTCAAAAAAACAAACCAAATAGTGGAAAAATATCGTAAGAACCTTGAGAAAGCATCCTGGACTTGCTGTCTATCCAAATTCATCTATCCAGCTACTAGGTAACGTCTGCCGGATCCTGAGGCAAAAAAAGGAAATAGAAAAAAAGAAGAAAGGAAAAATGACTAAAATAAAAGATAGACCAGTTCAGAGATAGCCATCTGTCAATTAGCCCACATGACTTTCTCACATAAATCAATAGTCCAAAAACTGCTCGAACCACACTAAAAGGAAAAAAAGGAAACCAGTATCAGAGAGGGTTCGTAGAAAAAAGACCCCCTATCCCTAGGCCCTAGGCCCTTATTTGCTTTCGTCGAAAAATAGAGCCCAGAGTTTTGTTTTTTTTCTTCGTATACTCAGTCGTTTTTTAGGTACCTATCCCTAGGTCCCAGACCCTTCTTTGCTTTCGACAAAAATAGAGCCCAGGGCTTAGTAGCACACCGAACATGTTCGGAGCTTTTCCGAACGTCCGAGCATATTTGAGTGTTCGGTCGAACGCCTCCCGAATGAGTTTGACCAAACATATTTAAAAATAAAAAATAAAAAACTTTTTTTTTTTTTTTAACTCGAGTTTGGTTAAGAATTTGAGCATAACTCTCAGACAAAAGTTGTTTGTATTATTATGTTACGTAACATATAGTTGTTTCATATTTTTCTAAAAAGATTTTTTATTTTTATGTTCGCGTTCGGAGGGTGTTGGTGCTCGTTCGTGTTCGGTCACCGAACCCGAACGCAATGCTACACATGCCCAAAGTTTTCTTTTTTTTATTTGTATACTTATTCGTTTTTCAGGTTCCTATCCCTAGGCCCTATTGCTCGCGTATTGCTCGCTTGAACTATTCTGGTGACAAATAGCCGGAATAAGTGAGCGCGCTACTGCCTCAGAGGTTGTGGTTACTATCATTTACAAGTGCTGGGACGAACGCTGCTGAAGAAACCCAGGCTTTATGTCTGGGTATGGTGATCACCGGGATCGAGGTTATGATAACCGCGAGCGGCGTGATCGAGGGCGCGATGGACAGGATTATAGAGAGGGTGGTTATGAGCGGGAATCACGCCGTTGCCCGATTCGGTGTTTCAATTGTGACGAGCTGGGGCATTATGCTAACCAGTGCACTCAGCCAAGGCGACAACGTGTATCTCGACCATCGTCTTCAACGGATTCGCGGGGCGATCGAAGTCAAGGCAAGCGCTCTACCTCCGGTGAACTGTTGGAGTCAAAGGTGGCCGAGATCAGCAAGAGCGTGGCAGCGGTCTGCCAATACGTTGAAATCGAACAACAGAAGAAAGCTATGAAGGAACGGAGGAAGATGGAGAAGAAGGAGGCAGAAGAACGTGCGGAAGCGGAGCACGCTGAAGCGGAATTGAAGCGCAAGAAGAAGGAGGAGAAGTTGCGTCGTGATGCTGAGAAATTTGAAGAGGTGAATAAGCACCTGGATATTAAGGTCGCTTTGCGTGTCGGAGAGCTGCGTGAAGACGTTCAAGAGGATGTGCGCTTTGAGATTCGTGAGACGAGCAACGAGCTGTGCAGGACGGTGGCACGTGGTAAACAGAAGGCGATCCCACTTCCGGGATCTGATCAAGAAAGCGGTGCTAGTGGTAGTGACACCGAGGAGATCAGTGAACGTACACGTAAGCTGTGCATATCGCAGAAGCATAAAAGAGGCCCTGGACCGGTCTTTGAAGGAAGTCCTCCGATGAAGCAACCTCCTAGGCGGACACCGAGGAAAGTGACGAAGCCTGCGAAGTTGACCGAACGCCTTACGCGCGCCAAAGCAAAAAGACAAGAAAATATGCCTACGCCAAAGAAGACTCCCCCATCGATTCGAAAGAAGGCCGATGTGGCTGGGCTTGGAGCTGTCAAACGCTTGAGATTCAAGAAAAAGATTATGAACGATCTCAAAGGTCTTGATGCTCTGGTGCTGCAGAACATCTGCAGGGATGAGGATATCACTTACAATGGTAAGTTTGAGTCTATTTTCGATATTGCTGTGCATCGTGCGCAACTCGCCTTTGGACCTGAGAGCGATGAAGCTGCGTCTGCCGAACCTGATGACGTCAGTACCGATGTGGTTGAGGAGACGACGCAGAGCACTGAGGGGTGATGCATTTTCAGTATTGCTGATCTTTGGGATATTGTCAGTAGCTTAACCGTATTGAGGGCTGTGTTGGGTTACGTAGATGCGCGCGTCGAGGAAATTTTACGTTTGACTGTCGTTCGTTTATCTTTCGCTGGGGAACTCCGCTGGACTCGTAAGTGTGTCGATGCATGGCTTCGACTGTATGATGACTTCGGTACGGACTTTGTTAATCTACGTCAGTGTGTTTACCTTGGCTGCTCACTCTATTGCAAATCCCAATATGTCGGTAAGAGTACCTGACATCTGGATGTACGGTGGAGAGAACATGTCTATGCATGTAAGACACGTAAGCCTAATCATTTGTATAGATGGCTGAGTGTTTTTGGTTTGGACAAGTATGTACTGATTCCAGTCGATACAATTACTAATGGGGAGTTGACGAAGTTGGAAGGTGTGTACATTAGGCAGTGGTCACCGTTTTTGAATACTGCCGGCATTAAAAAGAATGGGAGGAGCCAGAAAGCATGCAAAGGTCGGAAGGAGAGGGCTAGGATTGGGAAGGGATTTGGGGAATCGGAGAGGATCATTGCGCCATTACGTTTTCGTTTGGGAAACGAATCTGGATGGTCTTTGGACCTGTACGAAATTCTCAAGGGTCGTGCCCAAAGTAGAGAGAGCTTTGAAATCTTTGTGAGTGGTGGGAACCTTTGGCAAACACCGTGGAAGAAGCTGTCTCGGACCTTTGGATGGACGAAGTTATCTAAGGATGGGAAAAAGTCTAAGTTACGGGATGCTAAGTTGTTGTTTGAGTCTGGTGGTTGCATTCGTGTTGATCTTGTTGTGATGTGGAAACCTCAGTGTGTGTTTCTAAAGAATCTTATCATATCTATTCTGAGGAATCCCCGTGCTGTGAATAAATTTTATTCGTGGGGTATGAAATCCTTGTTGCGTTTGTATAACGTCATTAAGGATTTCTCTAAGAAATCCACTCGGAGGTATTTGTGCCGCCTCCTCTCACGTGTGTTCAGTGAAAAGTTTAACTTGAGCCTGAATGCTGACAAGCTGATTAAGGTCAAGTTTGACGATCGACTTAGACTGAGTGAGCCCCGCAAGGTAGTGAATGATATACTTGTTGGCTGTGATTTACCATCTTGTTTTAAGCAGCGTGCACGAAAAAAGACTCGGATAGTTTTGCAGAAGAATTTGACTGTCGGCGAGTTGCTGCACAATCATCGAGCTTTTGCAGATCATGATGTGCTGATCTGCCAGGATGCAGGCTTTACCTATCCCCGTGTGGATGGTCACGTGCACTTTCGCTTGGGACCGGAATACGTAGAGTAGCCACTTTTGGTTAGCGCGAACAACATCCCCAAGGCTCAGCTACAAGACCAGATTTCGCAGTTACGGCAAGAGATTGCTACTGGTTTTCGGGAATGGAGGAATTTTGGAACGGACATCGCTTACATTCCGGACACTGTATTGTCGAATTGTATGACTAGTCAGTCTGATAGATTAGATACTTTAACTCTGACCGATGTGTTTGATTTAAAGAAACTCTTTGAGGGTTTGGTCCTGACCCCCCTGGATCGGAATCCAGGAGAAACGGTGGTCATGTGCCCGAAAATCTATTATGAAGCCATGTTGGATACGTTTGTCAGGAATTATGGGTACAAAGTCATAGAGTCAAAGGAATGCATGGTGCTTAGGGAGATTCGTGAGGATGTTGGCGGTGCTGGTCTGAACAAATTTGCTCGGTGGGATAAGAAGGGAAAGTTGGGTAATGCTTATATAATCCCTAAGCATAAGGATTTGATGCGTTACAGACCGATTTGCCCCACGTTTTCAGAATCGATGGTTCGTACCGGTAGAGTTGTGGCACGCGGGCTAAATTTTCTACTTTCTAGGATCCCACGCGACTTACACTTTAACCTGCCTGCAGTGTCCTTATTGACTTTCCGCCTTGATCTTATTAATTCTAAGATTAGGCGGATCGGAACGGTCAAGGACCTTAGACTGATGTCCTTCGATATTAAGGACATGTTTAGCAGGTTGCCGCATGCTGATATTGTGAAAGCAGTAGATTGGTTATTCGATCATCATCGCAGCAAGGGTCGTGAGTGGGTGCAGGTAAACACAAGGGGGAAGGGAGCGACCTTTGGGAGGACGACTGATGCATACCACTGGAGAGTGCTGGATTTTTGTGACATTATAAGGTTCCTGCGTATTGAACTTGATTGTACACATGTGCTACTAATGTGATTGTTCGACAGGACGTGGGGATCCCGATGGGCAAGACAACCAGCCCGCCACTCGCCTGTATTTTATGTGCTTACTCGGAGTACCTCTTCTTGAGGAACCTGGGTAGGCTTAATCGTCGTGTGTTTGGGTTGCGCTTGGTTGATGATGTCATGATTGTAATGGCGTCATTAACATACGACAGTCAAGAGCAGGTGTCGAAACTGTTCGAGGATTGTTACCCGAAGGGCCTGTGCATGAAGCGTACCGATAATGAGACTGGTAGGATTGACTTCCTGGGTTGTGAAGTGAGATGCAGAAGCACCTTTCCGTATTTGGGATCTGTGCAGTTGTCCCGCAATGAGGCCAAATTATGGACCAGCGATGTCCTTGAAATCAAGAATGGGCAGTCATATAAGTCGTGGGGTAGCAAACTTCAGAAGAGTGCTACGATGCATAGCTACCTTAGCAGGATTGATCAACACACCTCCATCAGGACTGAGATCCCGGGTCGCGTTCTGGCACTAAGACGTGAGCTAAGGCTGATGGATTTCCCAGTGGAATTCTTCAACAACGAGCTAAGGAGATTTGCTTTTAGAAGGGACGACATGTGGCATGAGACTGTTAAGCTGTTTCAATAGACGGTAGAAGTCTGACATGGTCTGCAGTACTGCTTTTTTTGAAGTTTTATGAGTCGCTTTGATTGCGTTCTGTTTCTTTGAGTTATTTTTCTTCCTTTTTTCCTTTTTTCTTTTTTCTGTTACTGCCCTTATGGATTGTTCGGACAGGGTACTATCTGCATTTGTTCGAGCGATCTGACAGGGGTTCTCCCGGCCTTGAGCTGCGTGTGTAAGGGTGCAGTTGTGTGTGTTTTTAGGCCTGGGACATTCAGCGGTTTAATCAGGTGCCGGTTGCTGGGCCTGCACGGTATCAGGTCGATCGTACGGTAGTACGGCCAGACCAAATTTAGTTTTGTTACGTAGTAAGTTTAAAACCAGATTCAGTGTTTTTTGGACTGACGGTATCTCGAATTGCTAGTGTAGAATGCGCAGCCACCTAGTCAGACTAACAGTACTACGGTACTACCGATACTAATGATTTGATGTTTTGTTGTAGCGACATCTCCGTTATTGAACTATAAGTAGGATGCGTGTGAGTTAGTAGGCCTCTTTCGACGACCACGTTCCGCATTGCGGTAACGATCGGGGACTGTGGAATGTTTTGGCGGATCATTGGGTTGGTGTAAGCATGTGGTTCGAATTGAGTTCTACTTTCGTACACTATCTTACTTGTCACGCTCTGTGTGGAGTGACTCTCATTGCTTACTTGCATGAGTTCTGACCAATCACCTAGGCCCTAACCGAAAAATAGAACCTAATTTTTTTTTTTCTTTGTATACTCAATCATTTTTTAGTTACCTATCTGTAGGTCTGAGACCCTTCTTTCTTTCGTCGAAAAATAGAACCCGGAGTTTTCTTTTTTTTCCTTCATATACTTAGTCGTTATTTAGATACCTATCAAGGACTCTATGTCCTTTTTAATTTCACCGAAAAAAGAGTCCAGAGTTTTTTTTTTTCCCTTCGTATACTCATTCGTTTTTTAGTTACTTATCTCTAGTCCTTGAACCCTTCTTTGCTTTTCTATAAAAATAGAGCCAAGAGTTTTTATTTTTTCTTTGTATACGAAGTTGTTTTTTACTTATCATCCCTACGCCCTAGGACCTTATTTGCTTTCACCGAAAAATAGAGCCAAGAGTTTTCTTTTTCGTTTTTGTATACTTAGTCGTTTTTTTGTTCCAATTTCGAGACCCTAGACCCTTCTTTTTTTTAACCGAAAAATAGAGCCTAATTTTGTTTTTTTTCCTCCTATACTTAGTCATTTTTTGTTTTTTTTATCCCTAGCCCCTCCACCATTCTTTGCTTTCGTTGAAAAATAAAGTCCAAAGTTTTTTTTTTTTTTAAATACTCATTCGTTTTTTAGTTACGTATCCCAAGACTCCTGATCCTTCTCGGCTTTTGCCGAAAAATACACACGTGGTGAACGACACTTCGAATCTTCGCTGAAACTAATTCTGATCTCGAGATCTTTCAGCATTTTTGAAGTTTTCTTAAGCAGAGGTTCAACGATTTCAGACGTGCTTTTATAACTATAAACTCAAGTGAAAATACATAAATTAAATTCATGTATACATTTGTGTTCTATCTCTTTACAATATACATTCCAAAAATGCGGAATACCTCTACGTTGAATCAATATTAAAAATATTATCGTTTTCCCCCTTGTCTGAGTGTATAGAAACTCGAAAGATTCTAAAGATTTTGAAGTGTTGACGATGCTGAAAATTATGAAGTACGCCCCCCTCTGTCTGAGTATATAGGAACGCAGAAGATTCTGAAAATTATGAAGTTGTGGAAACGCTGAAGATTTTGAACCCCCCTCCCCCTGTTTTGTTTTTTTTAAGGGGGCGGACTTCCGAATCTTCAGCATTTTCACCACTTCAGAATTTTCATAATCTCCAGCGTTCACCGCCCTGTCTGAGTATGTCGAAACGCTGAAGATTCTGAAGATTCTAAAGTAGTGAAATGCTGAAAATTATGAAGTACACCCCCCTCTGTCCGAGTGTGTAGGAACGCTGAAGATTATGAAAATTGTGAAGTGGTGGAAACACTGAAGATTCTGAATCACCCCCCCTTGCCATTGTTTTGTTCTTTTGAGGGGGGTTCTTCTGAATCTTCAGCGTTTTCACCACTTCAGAATTTTCAGAATCTTCAGCGTTCGCCTCCTTGTACAACTGTGTAGAAATGCTGAAGATTTTGAACATTCTGCAGTGGTG